TTCAGTTTATCCCGAACCTGAAAAATCAGCTCATAAATGCCAGTTAGTTTATTCTGGGGAAAATATTTATAGACTGGAGGGATTTTTCAAGCTTTCTGTTGTAGGTACACCATTTCACCTAGGGGAGAGTAAGAGTTTTGAACATTGCTTTCCAGTTTTTCACAATATTTCATCCACGTTATGTGTATAGCTAGCAGAGTGAGATTAAAGTCCTCCAAAGAAGCACTCCCAAAACACTTGTGAATGTTCTTCCACTTCACAAGGACTAGATGGGTATTCGTGGTGTTATTTCCCAGATGAACTCCTAATTACCACATGAGCAACTATTGTTTTTCTCTAGTGCAGAGAATATTCAAATGCTCTCTGCACAACCACACTATCATCAGAAGAAGAAATTAAGGAGGTCCTACCCCAGATAACATTTGTCACAAAGTCAAGTATATTCTCCTGGGAAATAGGTGATATGTGTTCAGGTGCCTTTAGGCAAAAAAGATTCAAAATTATGACTTCTAGGTAACTGCTTTAACTGAGTTAAAAGGAGATATCACTTGGTCCTGACAGTTTCTGTAACATGTCTCCTCCTGTGTTTTTTTGAATCTATTTCAGCAAGAAAAAATGAGTTCCAGACCAGTCTTTGTTGTTGTTTTCTTTTTTTCTCTTTGGTGACCAGGATTCATACAAACCTATTACTTTGACTCTTAATGATAAGGACTGCATTCTTTCATGATGTGTTAAAACATAATTGAAGGGCTATTCAAATTCAAGTGAATGGTTATGTATTAGATAATCTAACCAGTTTATCTTCAGACAGTAGTCTTCCTTTTGACAACTCAAAAGATGAAGAGTAATAAAAATCATGTGGAAGAAAAATATAACTTTTTAAAGCATATTAAGATGTGAAGATTTTTAGTATTCATTCATTGAACATTGACTGAGCTCAGAAGAGAAAATTGCTCTGTTTGTGTAATGAATTTATTTTGGGAATGGCATTCAGTACTTTTGTTTTATCACCAGCCAGACTGCCTCTTAACAGAGAGACAGAAGCTTGTGTTCTAATGGTTAGCAATAAGACTTCTTTTCATCTTAATCCTACCATTAGGGGAACTAATGACAAGGATACTAAGGGAATTCACTTAGATTTATTTATCTCATTCATTAACACAGTACAAAATTTTGATTTCTGTATTTTTCTGCCTTTTAGATAGTATAGTTTTAGTCCAATACAGAAAGTTCAAAATACTAAAATTTTTTAGACTACTTTAGTGTTTGACCTGACTTTTCTCACAGTAAAAGAAAAGCTTTCAAAATCTGACAGAGCATCATTTGTGGCTTAACTGTCCACATTTGTTTCTCATCCTGGGATCCATGTATGTTGTCCCATTGACAGATAGGATCCTTTTTCTCCCTCTTCTGTTGTGTAATCTTAGATTGACTTTATTTTGTCCAGCATAATTTTTAACTATTTGCTGTTTCTTTCTTAGGATTAAAGATATTTACACTTAATTAAAAGTTACATACATTTGATCATTTATCATGAAGCTTGGTAGGATAATTTTTTACTTTATCAGGAGAGAAAACATAATTTTTTGAACTTGAAGTAATTTCTTTCTGCATCTGTTACGGCTCCAAATGTGTAAACAGGATTTGTCATTACTTTGCTGTTTAATACCACTCAAGTTATTGTCTAGTATCAAACAAATATTCATTTAACACTCCAGCAAAAATGCAGAAAACTTTCTACTATTCAGGTTTTGGTCATAAAATAGCTGATTTTGTCAGTGTTACTTCTGCAATGGTTTTATCTGCCTGCTGCATGCTCTTCTCTATTTTGTAACTGTATTTGGCACTCGATACCAAAAGTTTCCTTCTCCTGTTTAGTAAAGTAGTAATAGCAATTAGTAACAATTGTATTAAATGTTATTTGATCTGGTAGTAATTGTATCAGAAAAAAAACTTAGGACAAATGGCGAGTACTCAATGGTTTACCATAGATTATTTCATAGGTTTTAAGACTAAAAGATAGCATCATAACATCATCTGTCTTCCAGAGTATCATGGGCCATGCTATTTCACTTAAGTGAGCCTTGTAGCAAATAGACTAGCTTTTATGTAGCTAAGACTGTAGCTTTTGTAAATGTGTTCAGTCCTGAGTCAAAGACACCAAGACATGGAGATCATTACATATCTTCCTGTGTTTGAACATCATCTTTGTAACAAATTTGCCATATTATTTGTTTCCTGTAACAGAAAAACTGCTTATGATACTGTCTCTAAAGCCATAATATCCATGGTATTCTAACAAATAAAGCCCAACAGGTATGTGTCAAATCATAATAACCTCTATCTACTAGTAATATTTACAGATAATCTAGTAGATAAACAATGTCTCTTCTTTAAGTTTCCCATTAAGAAAGAGCAGAATGAGTAGCTGTCTGTGATAAGCATCTTTGCTGTGGCTGAGTTCACCATTAAGAGAAGTTTCGGGTACTATGATAGATTCTGCCATGGTGCACCACAGAGCTAAAAAAAGAGGCTTTTGACTATTTCTGAATAGGCAAAAAGTAGCAAATACTGCTACTTTAGAGGATTCTTCCAAGCAACATTTCTATGAAGTGTTGCTGACAGTTTGAAAGTATGTATTCAGCTATAAATATCAAATATTTTGGAGGACTTGTGCTATCTCTGATTTCATTTTGATTTATTAAAAGTCACTTCTTGTTTTTCAGCACTCAAAGATGTTACTGTAACGTAGTAATTTGCCAAAAGAGTACAGTTTGTGCTATGAAGTTAAACCAGTTTTCTATCCAAGTCAGTCTGAGCTAGATGAAACTTCCAATGAAGATTGAGTGTTTCTATTATCAAAGTAGAAGAACTGGATATTAAACCTTTCATTTATCCTTGTCATTGGGTGCAATCACTGTTCAGAAGGATGCGCTCCTTGTTATCTTTTAAGGACAAAAATATTATTAGATACTGTGGTCACTGTGCTTCAAAATATTATTCCCAAGATGAATCTTTGTAATGGTAGTAAACATTTTAGTCTAGTTTTTTTTTTACTTTTGTCCTTGAATGAGGAACACCGTGGGGAAAAAAACAAACGATTGTATCAGTTGTACATCCTACTGATCTAGGTGGCTCAGTATTTAAATGTAGTATCGATGCATTTTAAAATGCCCAAGTGTTCAACAGATTTCAGAGAGAGCTACCTAGAAGTTATGGTACTTAGGTTAATCTTTTATTATCTAAAGGCTGAAGAAAGCTGTCTGCTTCTGTGATATGAACCGCAATCATCTTAAAAATAATTGACAAATTAATCCTCTCACAGTGCTGCAATTGTAAAGGTGCTAAGTTTAGCTAGGCTTGTCTGATTGCCTTGTCTAATCAAGAATAAAGGTGCTACCTTTGATGTCTAAGGTTTAGTAGGGACATCCCAGACCCAACAAGCTTGTATGTTTTAATTATCAATCCTACCATTTCTGCCCACAAAACCCTTCGTGCAGTGTTAGCCTCACACCAAGAGGCTAAAATAAAAATAACCAGTGAAGTATGTGAAGACATGCAGGACTTTTAACCTTTGGAAAAGTTGACCTGTATTAGCAATTGGTAAGTTGAGCTACCTGCAAGATAGAATAGTTTGCACTCTTTTCCCCATGTTTAGTCATGTTATCTCTTACTTTTCACATTAATAGCTACTATATAGTGCAAATTTGTTTCAGTAAGGTTAGTGGTGGAGTTACTACTTAGTCTGTGTAAAAGTATCGTAACTGTGCCATAAACTAATTAATAGACCTAATTGACTTTCATTTACTGGTTGACAGCCGGCTGAATATTAGCCAGCAGTGTGCCCAGGTGGCCAAGAAGGCCAACGGCACCCTGGCTTGTATCAGGAATAGTGTGGCCAGCAGGAGTAGGGAAGTGATCGTCCCCCTGTACTCAGTTCTGGTGAGGCCGCACCTTGAATACTGTGTTCAGTTTTGGGCCCCTCACTACAAGAAAGATGTTGCATTGCTGGAACATGTCCAGAGGAGAGCTACCAAGCTGGTGAGGGGTCTGGAACACAAGTCATACGAGGATCGGCTGAGGGAACTGGGGTTGTTGAGCCTGGAGAAGAGGAGGCTGAGGGGAGACTTGATCGCCCTCTACAACTGCCTGACAGGAGGGTGTAGAGAGGTGGGGGTCGGCCTCTTCTCCCTGGTAACGGGCAATAGGACGAGGGGGAATGGTCTGAAGTTGCACCAGGGCAGGTTTAGGCTAGACATTAGGAAAAAGTTCTTCACGGAAAGGGTTGTCAGGCTCTGGAATGGGCTGCCCAGGGAGGTGGTTGAGTCCACATCCCTGGAGGTATTTAAAAGAAGGATAGATGAGGTGCTTAGGGACATGGTTTAGTGGTGGGATGTCAGGGTTAGGTTAACAGTTGGACTTGATGATCTTAAAGGTCTTTTCCAACCAAAGTGATTCTATGATTCCAAAGCCAAGAAAATCTTACATTTGAGCTTGAGCAAGTCTGCTTGAGCAAGTCTGAATAAATACGCTTCTATTTCAGGACAGAAATCTGTTACTCTGGGCAGCACTTTGTTAAACAAGATGGCTTTTCTTTGGATAATTAGGTTTGAGGCTCTATGAGTGGGCAGCATAGTCAAGCATGGAATGAAAATAGTTCAATAGATTGTTAAACATCGTTGCAGTTTTCTAAACAAAACTGTTCTCAAATGGAGAATCACAAATAATCAAACAGTATTTACTAGAATGTTATATAAAACTTTTCCCTTTACAATAAAATCAAGGGGAGTGTGGTGGGGTTTTTTTTAATTATTATTAACAGAACACTACCTTCTGTGTATTTTTTTTGTGATAAATGCACCCAAATCTATAGTACCAGTGAAGAGCCCAATCCTGCCAGTCCTCCCAGGAGTCCAAAGTTCAATCATTCATTTAGCTTGCATAATGATGCCCTTTTTATTCACTTTTTCGACATCACAGATTCTTTTCTTCAATTTCAGGTGAATGAAGCCACAGTGGAGCAGCTAGTGCAGCAGTATCCACATATAACCTTCAGTACTGTACTACAGGATTGCAAGAGGACGTTGGAACGGGCTTATCAAATGGGCTGGACACCCAATATGTCTACTGCCTCTTAACCTCCTATACCGACATGACAGTTCCACTCTGCTGCATTCAGTAGATCTAATGGGGATTGCAGAGGGTTCAAAACCTTTCATGCGATGCAATATATTTGTGAGTTTACACAGGTGACAGTAAAATAGCAAAAGCTGTACACTGACTTTAATGTACTGTACAACTAAGTACTAATATTGAAGCAACTTTAGAAATGCATTGTGTTTTTGTTTGCATAAAAGATATAAAAGCCTATGGCAGATTTCTTGACGTGGATTCCTACTAGTTCTCTGGATAGTTTGAGTTATAGAAGATGTTAAGCTTGTTTTCCTCTGTTTACTTTACTTTGCCTTGGTCACGTGTGTTTCCTTTCATTTGTAAATGGTAACTCAGTGCTAGCACCAGTGCAGTTGATCAACAGAAGCCTGTGTTGAAACTGGGAGCTAAACTTGACACTTACTATTTACTAAAGCTACCCCAGGAGCTTTAAGATGCACAGAAATAAGAAAATCTACAAATAATTGTGATTTTCTTATAAACATTTGTATAATTACACAAATCGTTATTATCAAGAGACATCTTAGTAATTAATGATAATGACAGGATGGGTTTTTAATGGACAATCTTACTTCTTTCTATCACTCAACAGAATTGATTTCTTCTTTCATTTTGTTTTGCTAAAAATAGGAGATGCTGCAGAGATTTCCAAATCTTTCCACCTTGCCATTTTTATAACAAGTGAGCTAACAATGCTTAACCTAACATGGATAACCAGTTCCCACTATATAAAGTCAAACAGTAATTGAATACATCAACTATCAGAAATAAGTTAAAATAAAATGTTTAAATACCTGACTGAAAAAAATTTTTTTTTTTTTAAGTGAACTTGTATTTGACTATGCTGTTATGTTGCTGAATTGGGAAATTCAGATGAATGGGTATAAGTCAGTAACATGATTCATCTCATTTCCTGTGTGGTTGTTATTTTACAACAGATCTTATAATGCAAAGAGTGCTTACCTCAAGAGGGCCATCTAAACATGAGTCCCATCGTGGGTATCATTTGGTAGGATCAGATGCTTCGTAATACAGCATACGCAAGAAAATAGCCAGAGTAAATACATAAACCAATTAATTTCTGTGTGTCGCATTGCATTCTAAGGAGTTAAATTTGACCAGGGGATAGTGAAAATACAGACATTGCAGCTTCAGTTTGAAGTTGCATTAACCTTTTAGAGTATTACCATTTGGTTAAGAATGTTTTCAGGTGTGTAACACTGGATATTTGTTTTTCAAAGGTTACAGCATTTTAATCCAAAGTATGAAATGCTTAAGCTTCAGCTGAAGAGTTGCCATTATTGTCAAAATGTTTTGCTAATCCAGAAGGTCTAATGCAGCATAACCTAGAAGCTTATTCAGTATGGCCGTATAACTCTCTGTAAAACTGTCTGTTGATTCCCATAGCATAATTTTTTACAACAGAAACATCAGCTTACAGTAATTCCAGTGAGGGTGTTGAATGTTTTCTTATTAGACTTTTAAAAATGGGGATGAACTAATTTCTCTGGAAAAAATATATCGTGAATTTTTTGCTTTAAATAAGTGGTAAATACATGTGAACATGTGTAATGCTAGGCTTTTTATTTACTCCAAAACAGCAACAATATTTTCAGAATAAAGTCAATGGATTATATTGCAGATATAGTACAGAATCTTAGTCATTTTCCATTTAATGTCTTTTTCTGAGTGCATTAAAACTGTTCACACAATTTGTAAGTTTCTATTTTTTCGTGAAACCTTTGATCTTGCAATGAGTTGTAATAAAAGAAAGAGGAAAGGTGTGGTGTCTTCTGTTCTTCTGTGCTGCTAACTGTACTTAGACTATGCTAACAGACTGAAATTCCATCCTTGAATATGCAGAACTCATCTGGACATGGTCCTGAGCAAACTGACCCAAGCTGGCCCTGTTGTGAGTGGCAGAGTTTGACTAGATGATCTCCAGAGATCTTTTTCAATCTAAAATACTCTATAATTCTTAAGGGGTTTTTATATCTTATGGATCTAGTTGGTCATCTCTTTTCACTGCTGCCGTTAAGTCACTTCCCATAGTTTTCCCTTTTACTGACTGTTCACCTCTCTTATTTTTCTGAACATATTAATCTTTATAGATCTCAGTGCGGCTAATTATTTTCCATGGATCTTGGCATTTACATAATTTGTAAGTTTATGTGGTAGAAGAATTCTAGACAGAAATATGTTTTTCTAACTGCAGTGTTGTCACAGATAACTCTTTAATTTCCTTATAATAAATCAATGTTTCCTAAGTAGTTTTATAGGAATAAATAACAATGTTGCACACTCTTTACCTTTTGAAATGTCATTTAGGGGAAATACCACTCAGGGGAAAAAGAAAAGACGTTGCCTATTGTAAAAAGAGAAATTACGCCTGTTTTCTCTTACTCAGAACTTACATTGGGTTCAGAAACTCACAGGCAGCTACATGCTGGATTTCCTAGGTTCCAAGAGGCCTACTTTACTGAAAAATGTCTTTGTTCCTTTAAGATCTTTGCGGGAGCCTGCAGTTAGGGTAGATCACCTGTGGCTCAGCATTTGTCTTATCAGAGACATTTCTAGGCCAGAGGAGCTGGGCTTGTTTGACCTGCAGAAGAGGAAGCTAAGGCAAGCTCTAAGTGCTTTCTTAACTAAGCGATAGGGGGATTGAAGAAAAAAGACAGATAACCTTTATTTTCATTCATTCAGTCTTCTAAATCCAGATATAATTCTGTTTTAATGCCACTCAAATGGTTCACTTGGTGGTTGCTCTACCCATCTTTCACCACTTAAAAGGCGATGTGGAGGGGACTGCCCTCATGCTATTTGTCCCAGCAGGGGAAATGGCTAACCATGGTGTTTCGCATGTGGATTCAAATTCACTCTGCCCAGGCTCCCAGGTTAGTGGGAAGTTTAGTGAATTGCCAAATCCAAGCTGGCATATCCCCCTTCTCAGCAGGTGCCCTGAGTAGTACTGGGCATGGACAAAGTTAATTTCTCTGAAAAATACCATAGAAAAGGATAAACTGATCTCAGGATGTCCACAGGTAGCTACTGGGAGTGACTCTCAGCATTCTCAAAGCCATTACCCAAAGGTCTTATGTCCTAGCATGGCCCCAGAACCTCACTGGCTTCACTCACAGAAAACATTACTTCCCCTGTAGGTCCTGCAAAAGAGTTTGAGCCATCCTTGATCGTTTCCCAGAACTATTAAACTTACCAAGCTATCTAGCTGGGTTTTCAAAAACAGTATTTGGTAAAGCAAGATGTATGAGAAAATGGCCTTAGTAAGAATAATTAACCAACAGTTAATTTTTTCAAGCTCTCAGCTGGCTTCCACATGAGCTCACTGATGTCCCCCCAGATTCTCAAGAAGTAAATACAGCCTTGCTGATGCTTAATAAGCTGTGGTGTTGACAGGAACAAAATCAAGAATGGCAGCAGGTCACGTATGCAATGGTTACGTGAAGACGTAACAGAGGCACAAAGCAAGCTTTGTATGAAGCTGGCAGGGCCTTCTTCAGGTGATGTGATCTTGAACTAGAAAAGGAAAAGGACTCTTGCATCTTATAAATAATTAGGGTAGGATAGGACAAGATAGGATAGGATAGCATAGGATAGACTATTTCAGTTGGAAGGGACATACACTAGTCATCTGGTCCAACTGCCTGATGTTTTCAGCGTTGACCAAAAGTTAAAGCATGTTATGAAGGGCATTGTCCAAATGCCTCTTCCACACTGACAGGATTGGGGGATTGACCACCTCTCCAGGAAGTCAGGTCCAGAGTTTCACCACCCTCTCAATAAAGAAATGCTTCCTAATGAAAGAATGTGTTGCAAAATAACAGTTAGAAAACCATATGTAAAAGACTATGATGATGTCTGATCTTGTAAATATTCAGATTTATATTTTAAATTAGGTGTTTATGCTACTCATTCGTGAGACTCCATATTAACAGAGAGTGACTTTAAAGCAGACCCATTTAAAGAGTCCATTAAAATAAAATTATTTAAAGCAATGTTACTTTTTTCATCCTGTAGTTGTTTTTCTCCCAGCCTTCTCCATGAGTAGCTGAGTATTGGCAGGATAGGTGACTGAGATTTTATTTGAAGTTCTGGTAAATTTAGAAGCAGAGTTACCAAATTGTTTTTTCAAACCACAGACACCCTGGGATATGCTCCAGGCTTGAGCATGCAGTCTCCCATAGATTAGCACCACCTAAAAACCAAGTAATGTTTTATGAGAGTAATTGTATTTTGCCAATCTAAACAGGGTGGGGACTTGCCAAATTTTTGTGACTTCTAGTTTTTGTTGCTTGGGTTCAGGTTTCTTTTTCTGAGAAACCTGTAGAAAATATATTCACTGACTGAAGACTTCTCTTCTCCCTTCCCTCTTCTTGTAATTTCTTTGGTTTTTTCTCCTGTGGTTATCAT